CAGTGCTCCGTAAGGCTCCGTAGTTCCGTTACGAAATCCGCAATGGATTCTTCTTTCTTTAGTACCCTTGTATTGAACTTGAATCGCTGTGCGGTAACAGAAGGTTTAGGATCATAATGCTTGGAAACGATAGACACAAGATCATCAAAAGTTCTCGCATTTGGTAAATCCGGAGAGACCAAGCTGCGTATCAAACTGTGTGTCGCCGAGCCACAAATCGTAAGAAGTATGTTCACTTTCCGCTTGTCGTCGGTGACTTCGTTTGCAAGAAAGCAACAATTCACCTGTTACACATATTGATTCCAGGAACCTCCAGTAGCAGTAAATTCTTCTAGCTTTCCGATAGACACTTGGTAAAATGGGTTCGTCAGACCCTCGCCAGTATTGTAGTTCATAGTAAGTCAGAAGAACCCGTCAGTACGGACACGAGTGTATTGGGTATACGCGGCCAAACTGGTCCGCTTTCGTGGCAGGTAAGCAAAGTAACTGAGTCACATATCCAGTCAACCCACAGCGCTCACGCGAGCCAACCAATCGGACACACATCCAATCAGCCACTCAAGTCACATGCCAGATTGATGGTAGAACGACGAACGGACACACACACGCGCGAACTCTCTGACACACCGAAGCAGCTACTACACTTGGGTTATTGGAGGCGTCTATGCTAGGTTGCTTGCCGGTTGGTTGCCGCTCTTGCACAGCAAGAGGAAATGAATTTCGTGTGATTCTGGTTTTTCATTTTGCGATCGGATGGAGACCCAGACACCCTTCCGGCCGTTGTTGACATAAAAATACACCGGGTGGATGAGACCAGTACTGGTCATTTTGAATGAGCAGACACACACACGCAGAGCGCATCTTCTGCTAATGTGTGATCATCACGATCTTTTCTTTGTAGTAACAGAACAGCGAAAAACTCATGGCTAAGGAGCGCCAAACAGGTTAGCACTCTATGTCACACAACCCGCACTGTTATCTGCCTCCGATCGTCCCTGCTGCCGCACTAAAACTTCATGCACGTGATCCTGAGTCAGCAGACGTTCACTTCTGGAAAACGCTCGTGGACCGGATGAAATTTTACGCTATATTTTTTATTTTGCTGTGTTCATGCTCAAACCAAAACACAACACGATTTCCCTCAGCTTTTCGGAATTTTTTTAATTGATCACCCTTTCTAATTTTTTGGGCGCATTCATATTTAACATTGCACAGACATGGTATCAGACAAGTTTGTTTTGAAAATAGTGGGTATCCAACTTTCATCGTTTATGACATTTGATGAGGACAGCTTGTAATGTCTGTGCGTCCAGCAGGCAATTGGTGCACCGGCGCCTTTTCTTTACGGGTTGGTGTACTACGAATGCCACAAACGGCCAGAAAAACGGACAGAAGGTCGACAACTCCGAGAAGGTTATCAAACTGAGCGCATTGGTGAGCAAATACAACAAACAAAAATGGAGTATCACAGGGCTTTTGTCCCATTCGACACGGGAATATCCCACAGCCAGCTTTCCTTATCTTGAGCAGAATCCGGGTAAATCGAAGGCTAACCGCAGAGGACTTGGGCAGCTCCAGGGCCCTGTTGAGGTTCGTTCAGCTGTGCGCCCTGTTCAAACTGGGTTCAATCTAGATAATTGATAAGGCATTGCGGACCTCTAGCTGTATGTTGTGTGCATCAGTTGACTCGCCGTCGTTGTACCGTGCAAGTAATGACGCCTTTGTTTAGTCGGATCAGGAGTCCCTGGTAGGCGTTTTGAATAGTATTGTGGTCCACAGATTTCTTAAAACCTTATTACCCTGAACCCCGGTCTGGATGGCCGATCGACAGCCTGGTTCTCTTGGCAAAGCCAGACAAGTCAACAAACGTGCGAACCGGCTGATCTATTGATCACTATCGCTCGCGAGCGGGTCAAGAAAGTGATGCTAAGATTACAACTCATCTGTCAAGGACGACTGAAGAGCAATAGAACAACCAGTGAAATCTGTCTTAATGGAAACGATTATTCCATTGACTGTTATGTAGTCGCGTTACGTTGGTAGCTGGTTCTCCTAATAAATAGTAGCTAAACATGTGCATCTCAAACAGCGAACCATCTGGCCAATTCCCGGTGAAAGGTAGGAAAAGCCTGACAGGTTTCGCCTTTTGTTCTGCTGCCAGTAAACAGGACCTGAATACTCCAACAGTTATAACAGTCGGTGTAACAGAATGCTTTCACTAACGTGTAGGGGTTAGTGTCATCTGAAAGCCTCAAGTTCTAACTTAGTGAGAGTCATCCGAGTGAAATTAATGTCTATAGCGACGATTACTCGAAAGAGCCATTCCTACAATCCGAAAACCCAGAATCCGGTGTTCGCCGAGCCGGACGGAATATACGAGGCAAAATCTGGTTGCACTGGTGACACTGCTGAATATTTTGCATCCACGATTGAGGGTTCTAGCAATTTCCATAAAATATTACAGCTGCAGAACCATCTGCAGAGTTTGCCAGTTTTCAGCCGTTCACGTTTTATCACAAGTCACAGTACCTAGACTCTGCTTTACCAGACTCTGCTTTACAATTCGAAGTGTTTGATGATCCTGAAGGTTCGCTCACTTAAACAAATCAATCATACAAAAAACTTGCAGGAACAGTCATTAGATGTGGGTATTTACAAAAATGAAGACATCGTAGTCTTCTGAGTATACCGATTGACATCACGAAGTTCCCCTTTCCTGCCCTTAATACGCTGTAACGGACGTACGTGTATGTTCTCCTTGGCTATCATGAACCAAACAAATATATCCGGAAGCGAATTTCTGATCCATAAAGTGCCGGTAATCGGCGCACCTCAGTGTGGACACTGTCCTCGACAGACGATCAGACGTAACGCGGTCACCATATGCACCACGGTTTGATAGTAACCGCCTGTGAATGTTAGAATTCATAGGTGAATTTGTTTCTAATCCACCATCGGTTTTGCTTTGACGACAGCATTGTAACACCCGTGCGGTTTTTCTACATTGAGAATCGGCGTGGTTGCTAACGACAGTCTTTAATGAGATACAGAGTGTTCCCACGACTGTATGTTCGAGGTTACTGTGAAACCTTCCCCAAAGTGCAGTCTGGAATCATCGTGATAAAGGAAAGCACCGGATCAAGGCTTTCCTATCAGCCAGACCATTCCGAGTGACAATAGGCTCGACCCACTCTTCTGCAGCGCC